GAGAGAGGGAATATAAATTTGAATTTCAATTTATGAGTGAATTAAGAGATAATAATTTCTAATTTAAAGCTATTTTCAAGATCTTTAAGGTTTCTATAATTAAACAGAATAACATTGTTAAAGGTACTTGAAATAATTGTGAGTAAAAGGAGATACTCAAATTAAGAGTAAAACCCCGTATATATAGGCAAAATATAAAAATCATAGTAAGGGTAAAAAAGGGAAAAGAAATCCTAATAAACCTAGGAAAGAGAAATCCTAATAAACCTAGACTATCTATACTCCAACACTCCCCCTCAAGCTAGGCGCAAAAATGTCAACTAAGCCAAGCTTGACAACGGAGTCCCGAAGAATAGACAGAGTGACAGGTTTGGTAAAAACATCCGCAACTTGATCACTGGTCCCCACAAACGATGGAGTAACAAGACCACTGCTGACCTTCTCCCGAAGAAAGTGAACATCGATCTCTATATGCTTCGTTCTCTCATGTAGTACAGAGTCAGAAGCGAGCTGAATAGCAGATTGATTATCACAATATAATGTGGATGGAGAGGTCACTGAAAAACCCAACTCGTCAAGAATCGATCATCACATGCTCCCCCATAATCTGAATCTGAATAACAGGCTAGAGAACCGGTCTGAGATCCTGATGCATAAGACAACCCAAGTCCAGGACAAGACTTGAGGTACCGAAGAATATGATAAACTGCATCAAGATGAGTCTGACATGGCCTATGCATGAACTGACTAACTCGGCTGATTGCGAATGAAATGTCCGGCCTAGTATTGGCTAAGTAGATAAGTCTACCTACCAATCTTTGATAAACTGTCGGATCTTTCAACTCCTCACCTTCAGCAGTAAGCTTCAGGTTTGGAATCATAGGTGATAATGCCGGTTTGCACCCCAACATCCCAGTGTCTGAAAGAAGATCCAAAACATACTTTCTCTGAGGAAGAACAATACCTCTGCTTCTACGGGCAACCTCAATCGTATGACTACATCACTGAAGCGAGAGAACCAGGCTCGTGGCGACTGTTTCAGTCCATAAAGAGACTTACGAAGTCGACATACCTTTCCAGACAGTCGACATACCTTTCCAGCATACTCCCCCTCACCACGAAAGCCCGGTGGTGCATCCATATAAATAATCTTGTCCAGATCACCGTGAAGAAATGCATTCTTCACATCTAATTGATGAAGAGGCCAAGAGTACTCCGCAGCCAGAGAAATAATTAACTGAACAGTAGTCAATTTTGCCACGGGGGCAAATGTAGCACCAAAATCATGACCTGGTACCTGAGTAAAGCCCTTCGCCACAAGTCTAGCCTTGTAACGATCAATAGTACCATCCGCAAGAAACTTCAGGGTGTAAACCCAGCGACAGCCAACAGGCTTCACCCCTGAAGGTAAGGAGACAAGATCCCATGTATGATTACGCTGAAGAGCGTCCATCTCTGTCTGCATGGCAAGAACCCACTAGGGCTCCCGCATAGCTTCCGAAATAGAGCGAGGAACCAGCGTATCTGATAAGGCCATAGTATAAGCTCGAAATGTGGGAGACAGATTACCATAAGAAACATAAGCAGAGATCGGATATAAAATCTTTGCGGTCCAACCATATCGATCAACTGGACGGCGATCATGTTGCGAGAAGGTGGCTTAAGCTCTGGATGGAGCTTCCAGCAAGTAGCTTCCACGGGTGAAACGCAATAGCAAAGTTTCACTATCAACAAAGGGAGATTACACAAAATTCTCTAATCTAGAGAATAAAACCAAACATGGATGCCCAAAATTGGGGGCCAAAAACTCCCCGTCCTGACTGAGAATACATCTCTGATAATGCGCTCCATAGCTTCGGAACAGAGCTATGAAACTGGTGGATCTTGCAAACAGAGGGCTCCATTGAGCCAAATAACCATCCAAGAATGCACAGTTTTCAGAGAACCATGCAGAATATCCAGGGTCGGCATCAGCTGTCTTTGGGTGAGATCTTGTCAGCCAACCAAGCTTCCTTACACGTCCTAAGAAAAGCTGGAATGAGCATGACCACTCAGCGAAGTTACGACCATTCAACAATTGTGCCGTAACTTTTTTTGAGAGATCATGCCCGGTAATGCTGGTAATGCAACTAGACCCGTTGAGATCTCGTTCCAAGAACCTAGATTATATTAAAATCTAGACCTGTTGAAGAACCCGTCTCAAGAACCCAAATTAAAAAGAGGAACGCCACAAAGGTTGTGATTTACCTTTGATGAGTTCAAAAGTTCAATCAAGAACAAGAGGAGTAAACTCAACTCAACTCACAATCAAAATTCAGTATATATTGTCTCAACGGTAGAGGTTCTCAAATCCCTCAGTAGTAGCCATATCAACAACAATACTGGGGCACCCGTGACAGAAAAATAACTCTAAGATAAATAGAGGAATAAAATAAGGGAGAACAATATACCTTCAGTCGAACAGTAGCGACAAATAGGGAAGGTCCAAAAAGCTCCCAAATAACTCTAAGATAAATAGAGGAAAAAAATAAGGGAGAACAATATACCTTCAGTCGAACAGTAGCGACAAATAGGGAAGGTCCAAAAAGCTCCCAAATAATCAAGTCACGGTGCCCAGAAATCCAAATATATAAATAAGTGATCTACTACATCAAGGGCAGATCAACAGAATGTACAAGACTAAGGCCTAAAATTGAACGGAAGAGATTGGGCAAAAACGAGGGTCAAGACAAAGCGACGGCTTGATCAAGGCGGACAGCGACGGCGCCGTCACTTTAACCTCTCCTATTCAACTTTCAGGCAGTTGATGGCCAGGGTGGTTTCGGCGGTATGGCTGGTAGAGCCATACACTAACCCTACCCCAAACCCTAACCTTGCTCTGATACCAACTTGAAATAATTGTGAGTAAAAAGAGATACTCAAATTAAGAGTAAAACCCCGTATATATAGGCAAAATATAAAAATCATAGTAAGGGTAAAAAAGGGAAAAGAAATCCTAATAAACCTAGGAAAGAGAAATCCTAATAAACCTAGACTATCTATACTCCAACAAAGGTATTTTTAGAATTTAAAAAAATGGTGGACTTAAGTACTTATTAATAAGATGAAAAATAGATTTATTATCAAATAAGTTTCTTTGACATACTCAAGTTATTATAAGCCCATTCAGAAGGACTCAGTCCCAATTTTCACATTTGAAAAATAGAATCAGAAAAGTTGAAATAAAACGACACACCAACTACGACTATATTTTTCTAGGGTGTATCTGTCCGGGCCAATGATCTGTGATTGACCCATCCCGTAGCTCACCTTTGTGTGTTGACCAGCGGGTCAAGGTATTCTGGGACCATTGCCCACACTTAAGAGTATGATTGATAATTGAGTCGAAGTTGAACAATTTTTAAGCTTGTTTAGAAAAATGAGCCTAAAAGGTTCGACTTTAGCTCGCAAAACTCAGCTCGTTTATATGTAAAATAGTTGAACTACTTGAGCTCGGCAAAATAAGGCGAGCCTGAACAATTTTTTAGGCTCATTTAGAAAAATGAGTTCGATAAACTCAGCTCGAACTCATAAAACGACACGATTATCAACCCAATATAAGAGCCCCCAATCCCCACACACATGCATGCACACAAAATCGACCCACCCTATGGATGCTGAGGCTATTTTTCCTTTGTCAGGTATCCTCCAATTAAATGTGAAACGTACAAGCTACAGAGATACAACGAGACTCATGTTGATCTGAACTCTTATAAATAAAACCAAACTTAAACTGGCAATGGCAGGGGACTTTTACCTGAAACGCTTGCCACTGACTCTGTACTATGGAGTTTGTTGTCTATACTACCAAGGTGTGTATATAAGTGTACCAACGCATTAAGTGTGAGCATCATGCTAGAATAAGGTATTACATGCTTTGTGGGCCTATCGAATCTAAAGTCGCAATTAGGTTGGGTTAGTTTCCACGTTGTGATTAAATTTGCGAGTCAAGGTTAGGGATGTTGTAATCACCACCAGACTCTTTGTATACTAAATCTGTAAGTTTATCAGATGTTAAGGAGAATATTTACATTTTAACTTTTATTATTTTTACTAGCCATTTTCAATAGTGCCTGATAGCATTTGATGTGTTATTCTTGTTCCACCTATTTAACATCTACATTATTAACAGACTAGGGGTAACTCATGTCTAAAAATACGGTGTAATATGAATGATTTTAAGAGGGATATTAGTAGTCGTTTGATGAATCTATTTAAAATCGTTGAATAGGCTTATTGAAACATGTCCTATTTTATATTATAAATATTCTAATCACGTACTCTTTGGACTAATTAAAACATAAATCTTAATCTTCGATACATACAATCACCCATGACCAAACGCATTCATTAAACCCAAATTTTATATTAGTAGGGTAGCTCAAATTCAGGATGTGCAGATTTATATCTTGCCAAAATCTTTATTGGACCACTGAACCAAACCGGGTAAGCTTTTGAGGAATTTTTTTTTTCAATCAGACTTTGTTTGATCAAACAACGTTAAAACATTTTCAACTTGAAAATTAACTTGCTTAAAGTCCACCTCTTGGCATAAGGGAGCAATTCATGTTTTTGCCACACCAACAGTCGCATGTAGAGAGTTCATTAGAGGATAATATAATGATGATTAATTAAAAAGACTCCCATACCAAAATTACACACTCAGATAATTTTGCATCCATTACCAAAATGCCGAAATCCTTGAACATGTGGCGAAAACACGAAAGGACACTTGCAAATTCAGACAATTCGAGTCCTTCCACATACACTGCTCTTGTGATTATTGAACAATAATCTGGACTTCACATATCGAGACTCATTAAGATCAAGATTTATTTTGAAATTACAACTCACAAAAGCCAGCCAAAACTTAAATAACATACAACGAAGACACACCATAACAGCAACAGGCTTTAACATGAAGTACAGATGTTATAAGCTGTAGTTGGTAGTGACACAATTCAACCGTATGTCCAGTAAGTAGGAGTGTATATACAGCGTTCAGCATACTTCACGAGATTCTCAGGTCGAGGGAGACGTGTCGCCACACCTGCAAAGCAGTTATGTAATGTGGCGAACATAAAGTCATTCTCGGCAAGTAGGTTGGAACAAAAATAGGGAAAAGAAAATGTACTCACCAAGTTCATATGCTTTAGCAGCTACCTTAGCAGCAATGTGAGCAGATATCTTTCTGATATTAGTGAATGAAGGGTAAATCATCCCCCTAGCTAAATGCTCCTCCGTTACTTGACCAGCCAAAGCTTCCGCTGTTTCAATGGAGACATCTAAAAAATTAATATCGAGAGAATTCTGTTGTTTGCTTTACTGCAATGACAATCTAACATTGTGTTGCCTTTAAGTCACTGTAATCTGAAATACGTATCGTAACATTTTCATTTTTTACCATACAAGAGTTTACATGTCTAGAGAATAGGAAAAGATAGCAAGTATTCTGTTTTTGTCATTCACTTGAATCGGAGAGGAACGGGTTCTGTTGTTCACCGTGTGCAGGCTGGTGGGAGCAGGGGGAGGGATCAAAGTTTGTGGACAATATCAATATGCAATATTAAATTCAACACTGTTCTTCATTATATACTTACTCGCTGCAAGAAGAATTTCATCATGGACACCAATCGCACCAGAAATGACCAAGCCAAAGCCAAACCCGGGGAAAATGTAGGCATGTTCGCCTACGTTAAGATAGAAACTTTTTTCTCAATTTTTTATGTCCACGCTGAAGATGTTGTCGCACAAACACATCAAACAATGCATGTCTCAAGGAGATTAACGAAAAAGCATACCTCGAGAATCTTCCCCCATGCAAATGTCAGGTGGTCTCTCTATTAACTTGGGGAAGGGCTACGGTACCAAGGAGATATTGTACCAAAATTTACAATTTTTAATCTTTAAGTTGTAATATTTTTTTTTTGTAAGTTATAATTTTTAAAGGTCATGATCAATCAAAATAAATTGGGATTGATACCAAAGTTACAATTATTAAAATTTATGTTACAACTTTTAAAGGTCAAGTTATAATTTTGAAAGAGAGAAGTACCAATTATTCAAGGGGAGCTCATGATCGATCATGTGTATCTATGATTGATCATGGTCTCTCTTGAGCAGTTGTAACTTCTCTCTTTTAAAGTCATAATTTTATCATAAAAAATAATAATTGGCAGCACAGTACTGAACTTTTTTTGTTTGGCACCATAGACTTTCCCATTAATTTGAACCTACTTTTAAAACGTAAATGTAGTAATTTAGAGCTCAAACAAAAAATCATACTTTTCTTTCAAACTGATGTAGATAACCTGAGGGCGCCTAAAAATGCTTCCATATTTCTGGCAAGCAACACCAACAGTCGGAGTGTAGACAACCGGTAGGAGTTCTTCAACATTATCAATAAAAAGCTTATATTCCTCTCCTGTAAATCATTTTAAACACAGACTCCTTGAGGTTTGTTTGCACGTAATATAATTATATACTAATTACGATTTTTTAAGAAAAAATTAAATTTTTATTTGTGATTGATACAATAGAACATGAATTTTAATTGTAAAATTTAAAATATTTGATATTTTATCTTTGATTGTAGCATTTTTTATGTAAGTATAATATTTTAAATTTAAAGGGTCTAAATAATATATATTTACAAACTTCAAGAAATCTGGGTGTAATTTATTAACGGATATATTTATAGCAGGGTCAAAGTGTTATGTCCGTACAAATTTTAAGAAGTCTGTGTGAAATATTTCAAATGTCTTTGGATTTAAGTAATTAAGTGACAAACCTCAAGAAGTCTGACTATAATTTTACCTTTTTTTTAATCTAAATTGGAGATGCATACAACAATAAAAACACTACAGAATTTTGTATATAAGAATCATGTTAATTTTAATAGAATACAATTTACACATGATCTATTATCAATAATAATTGGTATTAGTGTGTAAGTAGATTATTACAAGTTATTTTACGAATTGAGATTTTCTTCATTGTACTTAGATTAATAGCTAGCAAGTCACATGTTATAAATTCAAGCGAACTCATTATTTTTAAGTAAGTCCATCACACATATTCACATAATTGATAAACCATCCATGGTTAAGTGACATTCAATGAAAGTGTTAGAGAAATTGCTTAAAGGATTAGATAGATATTGTAATTAATTGTACCACTTTTTTTTTTAACAGTCGCATTCATCGTCTAATGCTCCGTTTGGTAAGAATGATGAAAAGTAGAAAGAATGAAAAGTAGAAATGATATATTTTTTATCCTTCAAAAAAGGAAAGTAGGAATAATATATTTTTCTTCTTTTATGTTTGGTAGAAAAGATGAAAAATAAAAGTGATTAATTTTTTTTTGTGTTTCGTAAGATGGAAAAAAATATTTATTTTAATTTTTAAAATTTTTCTAAATTTTTTTAAAAAAAATATATAAATACATATTTTATCATTGTATTGATATATGAAATTAATATATACATAATATATGTATATGTCAAAGGATATATAGACAAATAAGATATGTTTCAATATAAATAATTAACTTTTCATCAACTTTCATTCCAATTTTAGGGATGTAGACAACAATACATAATTTTGTATACAAGAATCGTATTAATTTTAATAGAATACAATTTACACATGATCTGTTATCAATAATAATTGGTATTAATGCCCAATTAGATTGTTACAAATTATTTTACAGATTGAGATTCTCTTCATTGTATTAGATTAATAGCTAGCAGGTCACATGTTATAAATTCAAGCGAACTCATTATTTTTAAGTAGGTCCATCACACATATTCACATACTTGATAAACGATCTATGGTTAAGTGACATTGAATGAAAGTGTCATAAAAATTATTTAGAGGATTAGATAGATATTGTAATTTACCACTTTTTTTTAACAGTCGCATTTATCCTCTAATACTCCGTTTGATAAGAATGATGGAAAATAGGAGGGATAAAAAGTAGAAATGATACATTTTTTATCCTTCAAGGAAAGAAAGTAAGAATGATACACTCTCTTTCCTTTGTGTTTTGTAGAATGGATAGAAAATAAAAATTATTAATTTTTTTTTGTGCTTCGTAAGACGGAAAAAATATTTATTTTAATTTTTAAAATTTTTCTAAATTTTTTTTAAAAAAAATATAAATACATATTTTATTATTGTATTTATGTATAAAATTAATGTATACATAATATATGTATATGTCAAAGAATATATGTATATGTCAAAGGATATATAGACAATTAAGATATATTTTAACACAATAAATTAACTTTCCATCAATTTTCCTTCTAATTTTAGAGGGATTGATTTTGGTGAGTTGGAAGGAAAGCTCATATATCTATTTTTTTCATCTTTCATATTTTCCTTCCTTACCAAACATGATGTTTTTTTATCCCTCTAACTTTTTATCCTTCTATTTTTCCATCGTACCAAATGGAGTATAAGAAATTTGGTTTTAGGCTCCGTAGCTCACCCTGTAGCAAGAACAACATCAAACCCTTATGGGTGGTTCAATTGTTGAGCTTAGTCGATCTCAAGTTTAATCCTTTCCCACACTCCCTAAGAATTAACCACCCTTATCCCTTTATGTTGTAACTCAACTCAAGCCACAGTAACTAATTAGAAAATTCAAGTCGGTGCAAGTCTAAATACCCTGTAACCAAAAATAAAAAAAATAGAAAGACCAACATCATTTCCATCTTCAACCTTTGACACATCCAATTTAAAAAAAAAAAAATCGTTGATACAGGCAATGGAAAAATTAAATAGAGATAATTATTAATATAATAACAATACATAACAATCACTTGGACTAAAAAGACAAGTTTATTGTAATTTTAAAAGAGGACTTAGAAGATCGACTATCGACTATACCATCCCTAGTAATAATTGGTGGATCTTTATATCTGCCACTATAATTGTCGTAAGCACTAGAAAACTATTGGACCAAAACAATTTGTAAGTGTAAAAATTAATTTTTTAGTTGATTTTGAGTCAAAATTAAAGTGGGATTTGTTTACTTTTTCTAGTAAATTTTTGTGGGTTCATATTCTATTCTGTAAAAAAAATAATATTGTATATTCACTTGTTCAAATCAAGTAAGAAATAAATAAGAAAATAGACTCTAAAGTGACGATCTTGAAATGTGAAAATAGAAGATGTACAATGTGGGATTTAACATCAATCCCACATTGATTGAGGAAGAAGTTTTACATGAACATATATAGGTCAAATTTGTTCTATAGGATTGGCTCCCAAGGGGTACCACAATTTTAAGAGCAAAACAATTTCCTACATGCCTGTTATCTTTTTGAAGAAAATTCGTTTAATAAATTGAGCGTGAATTTCTTAATCCGAAATTTTATTTTGGTACCCATTAAATATGAATTCGTACTGGTTCAAATTGTAACTTCATTCCAGTCCGAAATCTAAGTTGTGTCTGTTCATAGAGAATAGTTATACAAATGATGTCTTATGGGTTGTGTCTTTTTATATAGTGGTTATCCAGAATAGTCACCAGACTGTCGATAAATATTCAAGCTCTCATTATTATTCTACATCAATTAATTAGTTCATTTTCAGAGTTAAGGCAGTCATTAGTGCATTACATTTCGACATTAAGACAGTCTGCATTTGGAGAGTACACAATATAATTTCTAATTCGCTGAACGAGTAAATTTGAGTGTTACTTCTACTTATGTGACGATCATTGTATCATATAAGTTAGACGCTTTGTAGTCCATAAACACCATGTGTGGGGGCAAAATTTGTCTTAAGAATATAGTTTCAAACACTAATCTTGATCTACTTAAAGTTCAATAACAATTTCTATTATATAAACGCGTTAGGTGTAACTATTTCGTTAAGACTACTGTAACTGTTTCATTAATTCTTTTGTAATTGTTTCAGTTTTTTGTGTTACTGTTACGCACTTGACTGTTATTGTTTTATTCTAAATTACACAATACAAATCAGAAATATCAATAAGTGATTTTACTGTATTTGAAATACCACAATCAACAAAAACTGCTTTTAGATCAAAATTCTACAGTTAATTAGTAGAAAACTTCTTTTGTTTTGAATTTATTTATTTTAATAAATAAACTTTGTTTTCGATGATATTTTAAGTGAATTTATTTATTTTAATAAAACTTTGATTTTTATTATATATAACATGAATTTATTTGTATTATAGACTTTGTTTCCTCTGATTTTTTGTTTTGAATTTATCTGTTTTAATAAGTCTTAGATTTTTAAAAATATTTTAAATAAATTTATTTGTATTAATAAAACTTTGATTTTCATTATCATTTGTTTTATTTGTTTTGAATTTGTCTGTTTTATCTGTTTTGAAATATCAATTTGGACAGTGAAATAGTGGTAAAATCAATGGACCAAAACCACATTTTTTTGTCTCCTATCCCATTAACTCATATCTTCTCCTCCTCTTTCTCACACACAAACTCACCAACACGCACACATTGATAGACTCAAACCGTCAAACAAAAACCTATGGAAACCAAAACATGTTGTACCAAAGTCATTGAATTTTGTTTTTTATAATAAACCAACACAGTGGTGTCTACATTTAATCATTAGCATAACATTTCAAAATAAAAAGAGAGATATATAATAGACACAAAAGTAGCTTAAACATGGACCACAATATATTACTAATGACGACATTTATCTAAATGGCATGAACTTGATAGATTGTCGAGTGGTGGGCATCTGAGCAAAATTTCTAAGACTAAAATTTATGCAACACTGTTTCGTTAGATGGAGTAATTTGTTTAATGA